CGTGCCGGACCCAGTGGCTTAAAACTCACATGGGGCGCGTGTGCATGCGTGCCCAAGATCCTGAGAGGAGAATGAATGAGAAGGGATTGCAGCGTGACCATCCCCCCTGGGGGGTGATTTCTCGCTTTCTGTCTCTCTGTCTCTCTCTGTCTGTCTGGCGAGCGCACACGCCCTATAGCAAAAACCTCTCCAAAAAATTAATTAATTAATTAATTAATTAAATAAAAAGAAAATGTATATTATTTTTTTAAAAACTATGCATGGATTTCAAAATATTTTGCACCAGAATAAACTCATTCTCTTTTTCAAAAGAATTATTTAATTCTGCTTATTATTATTGTTTTTTGTTTTGTTTTGTTTTGTTTTGAATTTAGCCAGAGAGAGAGAGAATGAGGGAAAGCAAGAAAGCAAGCTGCCAGGTCCAAGACCTGAACCTCAGTCAGCCATGTGGGAGTCCAGTGCCTGAACCGCCATGCCACCTGCTGGCCCCTAAGCTCATTCTTTAATTCCATTTCTTCAAGAACCTTTTGAAGTCCCCTTATATTCTAGATATATTGGGTTAAATATAACACGTTAAAAGTGATTTTACTAATTTTTTTGTGTGTGGCTATTAGAACATGTGAAGTCAGAAGTAGGGACGGTTCTGGCCTCCATGTCTGTAGCCAGGTGTCATGGCTGACGGAGGGTTGCCAGGGAGGTGTGTGTAGGGGTCCTTTGCTCTGCCTGACTGCTGGTGCTTTCCCAGAATTTCTCCCCAAGCCACGTTCGTGTCCTTCCCAAACTCAGTTCGGACCATATGAGAATTCCTGCTCCCCTGTTAGTACATAATTGGCCCCACTTCCTTTGGGACTTGTTCACATAAAGGTGTGAATGGCCGACAGCCAGGGTCTTCCACAGAGCTCCCTCTCCCTGCCTAGGGCCGAGCAAGGCAGCACATCCTACAGTCAGGGATGAGGGCCAGGGCAGACAAAGAAGAAAGCAGAAACCACAGCCCAGGGATTCTAGGGGGTCTACCCTTGCCGCAGCCTCTGCCCCCATCTCCTGGAAGGCACAACAGTACTTGGATGACAGCAAAACAGACATGGCTCACCCTCCATGTGCCTTCCTGATGGCCAGGCCATGGGGATAAGAAGAAACACCGACACTCAGTCCAAAGGGACTGTGCTAAGGACCCTTGCGGAGGTCTGGGGGACAGGGATACTTAGAAGGGGCTGCAGACCTGGAGAGGGGGGAAGCTGAGATGTGCTGAGACCAGGGAACCTCACCAAGAAAGGTCCAGCTCCCAGACCTCCAGGACAAGTCTGGGGGCTAAGGAGCAGCTCCATCTGCCAGAAGCAAGGTCAGACAGGAGGGAAGAGGGCGCAGAACAGGCTCTGCTAGGCTGTGCAGGGCCTTAAAGGCCATCTCAGGAGCCGGAACTTTGGCCCAGCCGTGGTGGCACAGATGAGAGAGCACCACTGTGTGATAATGGAGCCGTTTGGGAGGCCGAGGTTTAGATCCTGGGCTCACCTGAACACACAGGACATGCCCGTGGACTCCTGTGATCCTAAGTGGCTGGAAGGTTGGGAGGAGGGCTGCAGCATGGCAAGACTCTTTAAGGGTCTCTCTCTCTCTCTTTCTCTCAAAATAAGGAAAATAAGCTTTTTTTTTTTTTTTTTTAAAGTCTGGGCTTTATCTGAATGGCAACTGAGGGTTTCTGAGCCAAGTCGTGACATTCTCAGACCCTTGTAGCAGCCGGAAGTAGCTCTACTCCTCCTAAACAGGTACCCAGAGAAGCCAAAAGACAGAGATGGCTCATCTAGGGGCTCCCGGCCAGCACCGAGCCAGACAGCAAGTGGGCAGGTGAGGCTTGGCAACGATCATGGGGGAGCCAGCACTCACCAGGCAGTCAGGTGCACCGGACAGCCCTCAGTGAGGGGTTCTGCATGTGCAAGGGGACTTCAAAAAGTACATGGAGAAATGGACTTTTTACAAAATAAAACAAGTTTAATTTTGCAAAAATTTTGAAATCCCTACATAGTTGTTGGTTTTTTTTTTTTCCCCAGTATGCGTTTTCTGTAAATCTTTTGAAGACCCCTTGAATGACCTTATTTCATCTGCACAGCTATGCAGGGAGGTGACAGTGAGCAGCCGAGGCCTGTTGGGCTCTTCGAATGCACACGTGCATGATGAGTAAGTGGCGGCTGGTCAAGGATGGCAGGCCCAGTCCTTACGATATGTGTTGCAGGCATCAGGCTAAATTGCAATGGATACTCAGTCCAGCGGATGTGATTCTGAACCCAGGTCCCCTCCTGAGGTATACAGAAAGCTTGCTGACTGCGTGTTAACAGAGCTACTACAATGAGAGCAGGCTGCTAAGGGGAAGAGGGGACACAGGCATGGAGCAGGACTCAAGGCCCTGGTCCTGGAGAAGAGGTCTGCCCCAGCAGCCTCAAGTCCATCCCTGCAAGGGCCCCCACACCTCTCCTGGATCCCCATAGCAAGCCCTCTCCCACTGGCTCCAGCCTTTCTCCCGATCCTGGAATTAATAAAGACTCTGAGCAGACTGCGGTTTGCAAGTCTGAAAGCTGGTTCCTGCCCACGTCATTGCCCTGAGAGGAGTGGGGCCCAGCTCCCCCCGGAGGAGGCAGGAACACAGACACACCCCCTGACCTTCTCCCCTCCCCAGCAATCCTGCCACTGAGCACCCGAACTCCCACCAATAAGGGCTGACTTGAGGGGTTTTACCCCTTATAATCTCCATCAGCTACCCCCCAAGAAACCCCTAAATGAACACACACTGTAAGAGCTGCATGTCTGTGAGGCAAGCACAGCTTCAGGACAGTTCTCCCAGCACGCTCTCACCTTCCACAACTCTGAGCTGCCGCCACCAGAGACCCAGTGAAAGAGAGAGATTGTCCGGGGTCCCAGGGCGACACCTGATAGCTGCATTGAAAACAAGGATGGTGCTTGCAGAACCAGTGGTGGCTATGCAGCGTCAAGGCTTGCACTAGTATGCATTTCTGATCTACGAGGCACGGTGCAGAAATGTATGACTGGAACCAGCAGTTAGCGTAATGGTTATGTCACTGGATTCCCATGTAATCAACCACGGTTCGAGTCCTGGACCCAGCAGCTTAAACTCACACCAGGCGCATGTGCATGCGTGCCCAAAATCCCATGACGAGAATAAAGAAGGGATTGCAGAATGGCCATCCCCCTAGGGGGTGATTTCTCATTTTCTATCTCTCTGAAAAGCACATGTACCCTATAGCAAACATCTCTTTTAAAAAAAGGAAAGAAAGAGAGAAAGAAAGAAAGAAAGAAAGAAAGAAAGAAAGAAAGAAAGAAAGAAAATGCATGGCTGCATTTTTATTTACCTTTGCCCAAATCCCCCTAGGTCGGGAGGTTTATCACTGTTTGACAGACAAGGAAACCAAAGCTCTATGGAGAGTTACCTCTCTAGAAAGGACGAGAGCCAGCACTTACTCCTAGATTCATCCGAGTCTAATGCGTGCCTTTGACCGCTCCATTCTTGGCCACCCCCGCCAGTGCTCCAGACGGCCATGGTGCGCCTGGCTGCACAAGAGGCGTTTAATTCATCCCTCAGAGCCATTCTGGTGTGGACAAGTCCATAGAACATGTGGCCCTGACTTTGTCCTCAGACTGGCAAGTGACCAGTCTTCCTTTCCTGTCCTCTGGCTCCCACATTTCTTCCCCACCAGTGAGATAGGTAGGAATGACCCTCCCTGCCCTACTCCATAGTCTCCCTCCATAAAACAGGGTTCCCATCCCATCCTGCTCAGGTTAGCAGGCGTTCAGCAAGCTGCCCTTAGATCTTCTGGAATGCTGTACAGCTGCTTTGGTGCAGGTCGCCCCCTCCTGGACACCAGAGGAATGGCGGTCCTGGGTTATCAGAGGGACAAGGAGGACCAGCAGTCTGGGGGCTCCCAGGTCTGGTCTGGGTGCGATTGAAGCTCAGCATGGGAAGAGGTTGTGTCCCACTGATAACGAGGAGGCTGGACTGCCTATCAGTCTGCACAGGGCTCTCATCTCCCTGTCTTCACCGGGTACCTGGGGGTACAGCCTACCTTCGCCAGGCAATATAGGCTGTGCAGGGCTGGGTGTGGGGCCGCAATCTTGGCCGGGGGGAAGGAGGGGAATGGAACCCTGTGTGTCTGGGTCCCCCACATGCCCCAGGGCACAATGCCGCCATGGCCTTAACTCCCAGACTGCTCCCCCACCTGCAGCACCCCCACCTTGGCAGACCTCAACCCCAGAGCTGCCCAGCAACTCCTCCCTCCCCAGCTTCAGGCAGGAGGCTCGACCTCATCCCATGCAGAACAGAGCCCTGTAGTGTCATGTGCCCCACAGGGCAGCCCAACCTGGTCTTACCTTCCAGACCCCCACCCCAAACTTGCCCAACACCTCCCCTCCCCAACATATTGGGCAGAACCTGTCTCTTGCCAGGCCTGGGGTGTTGAGAAGACTGGAGGGCCGGGGTGGGGGCTGAGGCTTGGGACAGCTGGCCTGTGTCCCCACACTGGGCCTGGGGCCCAGCCGGAGAGGCGGGGGCCTGGCCACTCAGGCCTTGGCTGGGGCCGGGATTTTTGGCCGGGCTGCCGGGCCCTCCCTCCTGCTTCCTCTCCTGAGGGCTGTCCTGGCAGAGGCCCCCCTCGCACTTTCTGGCGGGAACAGGGCCAGCGTGGAGAGAACAGCCGCAGAGGGAAAGCGGGAAAGAGATGGGGAAAGTGTGTGTGTGTGTGTGTGTGTGCCTTGGCTGGGGCCGGGATTTTTGGCCGGGCTGCCGGGCCCTCCCTCCTGCTTCCTCTCCTGAGGGCTGTCCTGGCAGAGGCCCCCCTCGCACTTTCTGGCGGGAACAGGGCCAGCGTGGAGAGAACAGCCGCAGAGGGAAAGCGGGAAAGAGATGGGGAAAGTGTGTGTGTGTGTGTGTGTGTGTGTGTAGGAAAAAAGCCACAGTCCAGTCTGGGAGGCT